AAAAAAGAAGAGCATAAAAAAAAGGGGAGAACAAAAACTACCCCAAAACTTCTAAAAAAAAAAAAATTCTCTTCTTTAGAGGTCAACTCGTGGATGCCTCCCACACCTTGTTTGCATTGTTGTTTCTTATGAAATTCCCGAGTTAGAGTGTAGTTAAGGGGCCTTGGGTGTGCATTTTGGGAGGTGGACTAGCATTTTGAGATTTTATAACCGAAAGAGGGCTTGTTACAACTTTGGAATATCTAGGTGTGCTCTAATGAAATAGTAAAAGGCCAAAGGAAGTATCCTAGTGCAACCTTGTTTAGTTCTCCTCTCTACCCCCAACTCATGTGTACATTTGTATGATTGGTAATTCTTGAAAGTTGTTCACTTGTCTTGCTTTTGAATCACATCCCGATGAGTTGACTTGGGCTATAAAAAAAAAATAAATAAAAAAATAAAAAAAAAAATCGTGTGTTGTGTTTGTTGGAGTTGTGGGTGATTCTCTTTGGAAACCCTCACGAGAGATGGACTCGTCCTACTAGGCGACTTGTAGGTTTAAACGGCTTCTCACTTTTGCTAAAAGTGATCGTTCGGTTTATTGTGTATGCCTACCCTTTCTTGGTTTAACTTTTGCTTCAACCTTCTATAACAAGTTAGTTCCCTCTATTTGTTTTGTCATGACTAGTTTGCTCGAGGACGAGCAAAAGCTTAGCTTGGGGGGATTTGATAGCTTGCTATTTTATGCGGTTTTAGGGCGTATTTGAACCTAGTTTACCTGAACAAATTTGTGTTTTGGTTCACTTTTACCCTATTATTATGCAATTTTTGTGTATCCTATGTTTCACGGGTTGTTAGTGTTTTTGTTGAGATTTTAGGTCCAAAGACGACCAAATGAAGCCCATGGTTACCAAACCGAGGTTAGAAGCAAGGAAATGATGGAAAGAATCCAAGTACAAGAGCATCGTAGAAGAAAACACGAAGAAAAGGGCCCAGAAGACCCTGCACGGCCGTGCAAGATGTTGCACGTCCGTGCAGGAGTGCAGACCTGAAGCCATCTTTCTGCCAAGGCCTGCACGGACGTGCCAAATATTGCACGTCCGTGCAGATGATGCAGCACGGACGTGTCAAAGGTGCACGCCCGTGCTGCAGCAGGTCGTCTTAAACTGAGTTTCTGCCTTGGTCTGCACGGACGTGCCAACTTCAGCACGTCCGTGCAGACCTACAGTTTACCCGTTTCTTGTTTTCACCGTCCTCTTATTTTAGGGGGTAATATAAATAGCCCCTTTGGACCATTTTAGAGGGGTTCCCAATTTTTCCAGATTTTCATACTCCTCTTAGTTTGAAACACAAAAATCCTCAAATTAGCATAGATTTTAGTTCTTGTTTTGAAGGTTTTTCAATCCAATCATTGTAGAAGACAAGTTCCACCATTGTTAGTCAATTATTGAAGCTTCTAGTAATTTTTTCTTACTCTTTCTTTCTCTCTTCTATCTTTAATTCTTGCTTTTTATTAATTGTTTGGTTGTTCTTTGCATGTTTAATTGTTAGATTCTACTTAATTCTTAGTTTTAATTTGTTCATGAATTCCTTGAAATCTTTAATTGCTTTAACCTCCATGGATTGTGAGTAGTCTAATTTCTAGGGTTTGGGTGAACCCTCAATGTAATCACCAACACTTGTTGCATGAACTAATTTGTTAATTGTGGGGTGTTAATTAGTTGAGTTTTAGAGGTTTCATTGTTAATTCTTGTAATTGGCCATTGCTTGAATTATTTATCTAGCTTCCTCAACGAAGGATCGAGAGATGAACTTGAGGAAGCTCCCTTATGCTTGATTGACTTGATTTGCCATGAGAATAGGAATTTCTAGTCAAGGGAATTTGCATGTTATCGTGAGGATGTTTTAACACTTGTTTCTTGCCCATAATCACGAGAGTAGGTTATGGTTTTGATGTCAAGTAATCCCTCTAGCTTGAGAGAGTAGTTGGGTGCATTTGATAACTTCCCCTAATTTATCCCCTAAATCACCATTTCTATGCATGCTACTTGTGGTCCGTGATGAAGTTTAGTGGTGTAACCCATGCCCTAGGCCTTCTTAATATTGTTAATCACCTCTTAGAATTAGTTGATTTGAATTAGAATAGTGTGACGTAATACCAACTTAAAACCCCCGACTTAATCTAGCTTGTTTAAACAATAACATTTGGTGGTTGATTCAACGCCTCTCATGGGTTCGACCCTTTCTTGCCCTTGCTACTAGTTGAGTAGGATCGAGTTAGGTCTTATTTCTTGATAGGTTGACGACGTCCTATCACTTATGGGCAATTTTCACGGGAATTAATAACATAAAAAGAAGTAGTAAAAGTACATTGAAAATGTAAATTTACATGAATATTAAAAAAAGTAGAGAAATAAAGTAATAAAAGTACATAGAAAAACAAAATTTACATGAGGAAAGTTAAATTTGCACAAATATTGTTGCAAATTGGAGGGAATTTTGGTAAAAAAAAATTAATATTAATGATTGTTGGAAAAAGCAAATGAGGTGAACATTTTGGTACTAAAATTAACCAAAGGGGACTATCATTAAGGGACGGAGGGAATAATAATAACTTAATAAGTGCTCTGCACTACTGATATTTGCTATGCTTGTTGAGCCCTTCTTTGCTTTGTTTTGTTCTGAAACTCAAACGAACAAGGCTTAAACATGTAAATAGTACATCATATACTACTCCCAAAAAATGCCATTAAAATCTAATGTTTCACATAAAATAACCATTGTCTTGGTTTATTTTCATACTCCCTCATCCACAAATGAATCACCCTTTTGAGAAAATTTAATGGGAATTAAGAAAGTGAAAGTAAAAGTAGTAAAACTACATTGGAAAGTCAAATTCACATAGAGTTTACAAAAAAGGTAGAGAGATAAAGTAATAAAAATACATGGAAAAACATAATTTATATGGAAAAGATAACTTTGCATAAATATCATTGCAAATTGGAGAGTATTTTAATACAAATGAAATGATCATTTTAAGATTAAATTTTGACTAAAAAGTTATTCATTTGGAAAGGGAGGAAGTAGGATATATCATCTATATATATCCGATAAATGAGACAAAGTTTAAATAACGGAAGCGGCAATAATAATTATGAGGAGAAAGGTTAAACATAATAGCGAGGAACGTGGGTAACAAACGAAAGACATGATGTTGAAATCGCAACTTCCAATGTGTCAGCAAATGTTAGGCTCGTCACGGTCTTTCTGTGAATATAAGTTTTGCCTTACCACACCACGCTTTTTTCTCTCTCTCTTTTTTACCCCTGTAGTTCTAGTTGAAGTAGTAGAGAGTCCCACTCTTCTATCCTTTTGTCCTTTTTGTACACTACAATCTGTCCACTCCACGACATTTTCCTCTCCTAGCAGTCAGAAAATAAATTTTTCCAATTGTTTTACACTAAAGCATTTTTGTTCTTCCTCTTACACATTTTCAATTTATTTCAAATCCCACCATTATCTGCTTTTAAGCACAGAATTACATATATACCATCATCTAACTAATTTTAAATATAAAATTATATTTGTTCCTAGGAGTGATAATAATTTATTAAATATATATTTTTGATACTTTAACAAAGTTTTCATATATAGCTGGTCACATCATGTAATCAGGGTTAGTTTACCGATTGAGTAACCCCTGACTTAGTAATCCTTAAATAAGTAACTCCTGATCGATTAATTAACCCCTGAATAACTAACCCGGCCGCACAGAAAACGCGTTGTACATCTTTTATTAGTGGAGTACATTAATTACTTTATGTTTTATTTATTTATTACTTTATTTTTATATTGTTCGAATTTTGGTACTATTTACAATTTTATGGAATAATTAAAATTATTTTCAATAGTAAGTATATATAAAAAAATATGATCATGTAAGATCACGTTTTTTTTTTTGTTTTTTTTTTTTTTTTTTTTTTTAATAAACCAATTAATTCTTTCATTATATTCAATTTTGATATTTTTTTTTTTGTCAATATGTAAATAGAAATAATGATAGTTAAAGAAGTGCAGTGTCAAACATACACGGACAAAACAAAGTCATTTTAAAGAATTAGAGAAAGTATAAATTAAGATTTATAGGAAAATTACATGACAACGAATCACAAATGTTTTATTTTAATTTCAACATCTATTTAGCTTTTATGGCTATTTATATCATTATATTTTAATATAGGATTTCTATTTCTTGCAAATTGGACATACAGAGGAATAAGCTTTTTCTGACCTGTCAATTTTTTCAGCAGTAATGAGATAAGCATCTTGCATCATTGATATATCTGATATCATATACTACTTGGGTTCCTCGTTACCACAGCAAAATTGTACCAACAACTGAATGTCATGAAGACATTTGTCTTCATGTCTTGACAGAAGTTTTAATATATTTTGACTTATTATACTTCGTATTAACTAGGAGCCGAGTGACTAATTCTGGTTTAAGTTCCCTAAGAACAAACCATGTCCGTTATAAGTTCAAATAAATGTCAATGATTCGTAAAAGGATGAATAAATTTATCACGACTAACCAAAGTTACAACAGAAATTTAAAGACAAGATTTATCCGTATAATTTTAATGTGTATTTTTCGAATATAAAGATCGATTCTACCAAATTTTTCAAGAAGAGAAAAAGATTGCAGGAGAAAAGGAAAATAATGTTGCTAGGAAAAAGCCTTGGGACAAAAGAGATTAAAAAGGTCTAAAAACTTGTCGTTCCTGAAAATCGTCAATCCCCAAATAATGGGAACTCTACCAAGTAACAACTTTTGGTCCTGGTAAATCTGAGACATTCCATGTGATGCTGTAACTGTCTATTTTAGAGGAGTACTAAGAAAAAGTGCATCTGCAATATCATTTCTATAATAGCAACTAGCCAAACCAGAGACTAATGAAGATTTTATGATTCATCTGAAAGCATCTATGTTAGTAGAAAATAGTTCAGAAGTGCGAAGTTAATGCGCGAAAAGAAACAGATACTAGATAGATATAGCAACAAATTTTCCAACTAAACCATTAAATGTATCAGGAATTTGCATAATCCTTGGAGAAAATTTATTGGTAAGAAAATAGTGGTATGTGAAGATCTGACACTAAGAGGACCAAAATTTGGCTCAAATGTGCTCGTCCCACATCTGCCTCAATCACATAAGGGGGTCGGGTCACCTAGGAACAACAATAAGATCTACTACCTGTACAATTGCACTCGTATTTATTATTGCATCACCTCTATGATGCTTCTACGCTCCTACGTTATCGCTGCTGGAATCCATCAAGATTGTCAACCTCTTTGCTCGTTTTGCAAATTCACTGCACCATCATAAACAGGTTGGCACCATAACAAGTTAGTATTCTGTATTAACAATAGTGTTTTATGTTGGACATAAAGCCTAGGTTATGATCAATGAAAAAATCAACGAGAAGCAATTCCTCCCACCTGAATGGTTCATCTCCAACTTGCTTTGAAGAACCTGCACCATCTCTGTAGACTACACGGTTAAGCATATCAGAACTCTCAATACAAAACATGTTTGCCAGCCTGCTGCAAAGTTCTTCAAATGATTTCAGCAATGTTAGCTCAAGAGTACGGCCAACATCCTCCGACTCCATGAAAACCTTACAGTGACCAGTCTCCAGTTCTGAGTCCATTTCTGGGCGGTTGTCCTTGATCCATGGAAGTTGTTCCATAGAAGAGCGATCCTGGTTGTGTCCTGACCCTGAACCATCAGAGACATTACCTGCCTTGTCCACATTTCCTTCTGATGAGCCATTACCTGTAGGAACTGGTGAAACTGTGTCACCTGAACGACTTAGAGACATTTGCTGCTCTGTCAGTATTGGTTTTCCAAAGAGCACAAAATGATGTGGCTTTGTCACATCAGATTTCTTTATTGATTGGTTTGAGTTTCCCATAGTGAGCAAGCAAGAAATGTTCTCGTTGCTGCCGGGTTTTTGATAAGTTAATGAACTAGAGGGTCTATTGGGTAGAGTAGTAGTGGGATCAAGTGCTGGGAAGCCACCTGGAAAGAGACCCGACTGTAATTTACTCATGTGAAGATCGGACAGTGAAAGACCGAATTGAGCATGCCTGGCTCCCTGCATGCCAGCAGGAGAATTGTCGGGTAAACATCCGAAAGGGTTATTTGGCCCTAGGAAGTTTCCGGGAAATGAGGGGACCGGAAGTTGGCCATCCATGGGAAAATCTGGATGGTGAGGAAGTCTGAATTTCTTCCTTGGAGGGGAGAAGGGGGACAGATGAATGGCTGGCATATTAGATACTAATTCCACCAGCCACGGACTAACGCGTTTCACATTTTGCAGCAAATCTGGTTCATCCCATGTTACCTAAAACGGGTAGATCTAATTTGTCAGAGAATACTATAGAACATAACACAAACCAGAACTGAATTAGAAAAAATTGAAAACAGGGATTCGAGCAAAATGAGCTCTTTCAAAAGTCATTTCATGATAAAATGAAGAGTAGAAATCTTTGTTTTTTTTTTTACATAGTGAAGTGAACCCTGATGGCCATATCATAGCAAAATAGTAGATTACAGGAAAGCATATGAGCTATGGCTGGATAAAATGCATAAATTGAAGTCAAACACTAGAACACATAGATGATGTACATGCTTAGATAAAGTGATAAAGATTATCTAAATCCATAAGGCAACTTCAGTTTATCCAGCATTGTTCATATATATCTGTTTGCGTGGCTGTTTTAGTGAGGTTTTCAGTTTAATATTAATTCCCAATAACAACAAACTACCTGCCTGGGTACTAAACTAAGAGCTGGTTGTTGGCTAAGTCAGTTATTGTAAAGTCAACAAAACATATACATCATTGATAAAAAAAAATAACAAAGAAGATTTGCAAAATAAAACAAAGACTTCCAGCTCAAAGATAATGTTTTAAGGAATAATTTGTCCAATAGGATTTTAATTTCAATTATTACGGAAGACATTTGTTGGGCTGTAGACGTCCAACCAGGATAGGTTCATGAAGCCAGATTCTATCCTGAATTATCCTAAGACAAGGAATTGTTTATATTCAACGATTATATTCTTTTTCAAGTCAACTCACAACCAAGACATCAGTCATGATGTGTTGTTGAAAACTAAGCTATTGGTCTCTCTCAAAAGTCCCCTAACAATGGATTATTTGCAATGCAGTCGAAAAAGAATGTTGCTTGAGCATAAATTATAAACAAATCAAATTTAAGTCTGAGCAGATAATAGATGAAGAGAAAGATAAGCTGTGGAAGTAGAATTAGACCAACTTTTTAAATAAACAGGTTACAAGATTCAATTCTCTAAAAGGAATATGAACTGCAGTGATTTTTCCTAATAACACATATTTATGTAAGCACATATCATTAACACGTGTTTTACATATAAAACTTGGCTTTTAGGTCCAAGAGCATGGTAATAGCAAGGATAACAGTCACATACACAAAAAAGAAATACGCGTACCTGAAGAAGCCTCCAAGGTGAGTCAGACCAGTGCATAGGATCAGCAACCTGAACTGAGGATATGGTGCCCATGAACCAACTTATCCGGGAAGAGTCTTCAGTTTCAAAGGGCATCTTGAACCTCATTCCTGAACACCAACGAACTTGAAGTGCTGCCTTTACATGTCCAGCCTTCACGACAAACTCAGGGGTACCAGCTCTAGGGTAGTAAACAACTTCAAAGGGCTGCCCTTTAGCAGCATAGGTTGCAGCTTCAATAACGGACTCCATCATCACTTTCCCCTTCCCCGAAGCATTACCACCTGAGTTCAAACCAACACCATTACCATTTCTTGAGATCCTGTTTTCATCCTCTCTAAGAAAAGCTGAGAAAGCACCATAGTTCAAAACAGTGGATCCTGGGTTCCATCCAGAAGTCGAATCAAGTCCACCCCCGAGTCCCCTCTTTGCTCTCCGAATCCCAACACACAAGTCCCCATTTTCAGCTCTTAAAAACACAATCGAGTCCCCAGCAATAAGCTTCTTAGCATTCACAAATGTACTCCACCCTGTAGTTAATAAGTGACGCCTAGGGGTTCCTCGATATATATGCCTAAATTTCCAGGGCTCGCCATGTACATCCTTTGCAAGAATGTTCTGAACAGGTGGATCTGCTGAGTAATCTAATCGCGGAAAGATTGTTTCTGCACAATAGCGAGGGACTGAAAACCCGCCTCCGTTATTGGCATCAGACTGAGTCAAAGTCTTAGCAAACGAAGCAGGCTTATTTTCTTGCACTTCAGCACCATGAACTCCAACATCTTCATCACTATAATCAACCTCATTAGTGACAGGATTCAATCGAATCTTCGCATAAACCTCATCCGTCTCCTGGTCAGCTAAGTACCGTATATCCTCGACTCTACACAGAACATACGACGGAATTCGTGGGAAACTCCTAAAATCCACATTACCATTAGCATGTTCAATATGCCCTTGTACAAAGTAATAAATCTTAGCATTCACTGGTGGCATTTGTACCATTCCTCCAGCACAAGCATGCCATAATTGCGAATCTAAACAATTATCAGCCTCTTTTATTTTCTCCTTTGGATCCATAAACGTAATCATGGCAGAATATTAAGCACAAAAACAACACTTAATCAACCTAACTCCAACACCACCTTACAACACACTTCTTAATCAATGCTTTTTCTGTCAACACAAAAACAAAATATTCAACAAAACTTCATACATCTGATCACCAATATATATACCATAAAAAGTGAAAAAAAAAAATAAATAAAAAATTATTCTGAAATTATTTTTAAAAAAAATATCACAAACAATTAATTTTCTTACCTCGATAGGCAGGTCATCTATGAAAAATTCAATTAGCGGTAATATTTCTTCTCTTGGCTCGCGAAAAAAGGTAAAATCGGACAATAACACACGAACTTCATTAGGGAAATTAAAATTAATCAATTAATCCCAAATACACCTCCAGTTTGACTCAAAATTTGAGCATTGCCGACAAATTCCACCATTAATTAACTGGAAATACATAACAAAGAGTTGTATATATTTTGCAGTATTAAAGTTATACCACCTACAAAACTATCTATGAAATCTTCTCCTTAAAATCGGAATTCGAGCACAAAAGCCTCGAATTCCATTTATACAAGATTGATTTGAAGAAATTGTTTCGGCTTGGAAGTCGAAAGAAGAGCAAGATCTGCACATAATTTGTTGTTAATTTTTGGTGGGTATCTCGACTTCATTCGAGAATTTGTTAGAGCTTGAGTTCTGGGTACTTAGTAGCAGCAAATGAAACAGAGAAACTCCATTGAAAAGCAAAGATGAATTTTGTTTTTCTGAAGAAAACCTCAGTTGTTTTTTCTACTGAGTTTCTCTCTCTACCGACACGGCCGTAACTGGGAGTGCTAATTTCTCTCTCCTCTGTTGTCACTTTCTCTCTCTAAAAGTGAGTTTCTCTCTCTAGAAGTTGGGAAGATTCATTCAAATGGAAGCTTTGGATCATGGAAAAAGGAAGACAGGAACAAAAGAGTCCAAATAGCTGCAGCAACACTCAGCACAGTTGTAAAAAATGCCTTCTTTTTTTCTTTTTTCTAATAATTATTATAATTACAATTAATTAATTTTTTTTATGAAGTTTAAGTAAGTACGAAGTATACTACTTGTATCAATTTTTTTTTTTTAACAATACTACTTGTATGTTGTATCCATAAAAATATAATAAATTAATAAAAACTTGTAAATTGCTCATACACTAGATTATTTCCGTGCGATGCACAATTAGAATTAATTTTTCTTGTAATTTATGTTTTGTTTCATTACATTGTATATGAATATTAGAATTAAATATAAAAATAATTTACATTTAAGGAAATTAAAAAAAAAATTAAAATGCACAACCAAACATCAAACAAATTAGGTATGTAAAAGTGTGAAACTATAATTTAAGAGAGAAATTTGGTTAATTGAATTTTATATAGACATTTATGTATTGAAGTCAAAGTGTAAATCAATAATAAAAATAAAAAATATTAATAATTAATCTGATGACATCACACAAAGAAATTGGAGGGAAAATTTTTAATGTAGGAATGACATGTAGGATAATTTGAGGGTTGATGATATTAGCAATGTTTTATTTTAGTAATAGTTAATAGATTATTCAATATAAAAAATCAAGGTTGTCTTAGTTAGTGGAGATTTTTAACCCAGTTAACTTCGTGATAGGGTTTGATTCTCATTTCTAACAAAAGGAGTATCTTGAAAGGAGAGGGTAGGTTTTTCAATCTCTTGTCTTTATCTATTTATTCATATTTTTATGGAGTGGATAGAATACTGTGATTTAGGATTATTAGGGATATATGTAACTGAGTATAAAATTGAATTCCTCTCTTTATTTGATGGATAAGGTTTTTAAAATGAAAAGATATTAGAGGTTTATCATGTTTTATGTTGTCTATCAGCATCACAAATATTTTATTACAATAAAATTATAGGAACAAATTAAAGTGAAAATAAAAAGTAAATATAGCTTAATTGTATGAAGGTAAGATATATTTCCTATGTCGTAATATATTTTTCATTTCTGTATGTATAATTTTAAGACATACCTTTATCCATCAATATCTTTAATTATATATTTATAAAAATTATTACAAAAAAAAAATAAAGTGATATTACAACTCAATAAATATGACGGTCAATTTAAGGGTAACTTTAACAATTGTTGTGGTAACTTTAACACCTTTAAGAATAACTTTTAATTTGTAATGAGTTTGATTGTATTTTAATGTGTAATTTTCTATGGATACATTCTAAGAAGGCTAATATGATTAATCTAATACATTATAAGTATTTCTTAAGGATAAAATTTATGCTTGGAATATGGTAACTTTTAAATACTTTTAGGGTACAGTAAATTTAATTCGTTTTATAGTACAATAACTTAATGAAAATCTGCCTTAATCAAGAATTTGTGTTTTCAAATTACACATTACATAATTTTTGTATATATTGATGAGAATAATTGGTCAAAATTTCACAAACAAATGAGAACTATATTATGGGATAGAGAGAGTACTAATATTATCCGAGTATTACATTATTTATTATTTATATCTTTTCTTAGCACTCTACTCTAGTCCAATCTTTTTGTTCTACTCTTTTTTTTTTGGTGTTTAGAGAGTCATAAGGGCGGGTGATGAGAATCGATCTCAAGATTTTTTAGAACTGGGAGGAGAGCTCTAACCACTTGAGCTATCCCTCACTCTCACTCAAATTTTATTTTGGTATAACATTATACCATATACCCTACCATATATACTAGCTACTTCGTATATCATATTACCCTTCTAATTAGACTTACAATAATAACACTTTTTTCATATACATCCTCTCTTCATTTTATTAAAACAAGCTAAGAAACACAAGGCAATGCGTGTGTGAGAAAAATAAGAAACCTTTTAGGCTCTATACTCTTCTTTATTCTACTTAACAAAAAAAAAATTAAATAAATAGTTGGTGCAAATTTAAAAACTGTTGATAAAAAAATAATTATTAGTTAAAAAAAATGATATTAAAAAAGGGAATTTTGATTTTTACCAAAAAAAAAAAAATAAAAAAAAAAAAAATTACCCGATATTAGCTTTTACCACCTACTATTTTTGTTTATTTCATTATACCACCACAAAAAACAATTTTGGTTTTTTACCATCTACCGTCAAGAACCTTCCGTTAAATATAACAAAATTAAAAATATTCTTTGATTTTCGTGTCAAAAACATGCTTTCTACAGGTTTTAGGGGTCATTTTGGTGCTTAAAGAATTGATTTTAGGTCCAAATTGACAAAAAATTGTCGAAAGTGCATCGTTTTGCATGTTTCACGCAAACCGATGTATTTTTAAGTAAGTAAAATGAGGCACTTTTGATTTTTTTTTTTGTCGATTCGACCTCAAATCAAGTCCTTTAGAGCCAAATGACCCCCAAAAACCTCTAGATACCATGTGTTTGGCACGAAAATCAAAAAATAAAAATCAAACCATTACATTTAACAGCTTTTCTGACGGCTGGTAGTGAAAACCAATTTTTAGATTTATTTTGTGATGGTAAAAAAAATGAAAAAAAAAAATTAGAGTAGGTGGTTAAAGCTAATATCGAGGGGGTTTTTTTTTCTGGTAATTTCAAAATAAACTTTTTATTTTTTTGAAGAAAATTTCAAATAAACTATAAAAAAATAACAATTAATGTTATGATGGTAGCTAAAAAAAATTAAAAAAATTAAAAATTTAAAAAAAGGGGTAATTTGGAAAAATAAAATTTATCATCCAAAACCCCTCTTAACTTTATATATTAAATTATTATTATGTTTTTTTACAATATATTAGATTATTCTTATTTACCCACTTTTTTTTACATTTTTTCTTGCTTTAATTTTATCTTACACATACTTACATTTTTTTAAATTTTTTTTTTAAATTGCGTATTTATGATAAGTAAGTATTAGATTATAGAACAAAGGGAGTACATAGTACTATATTTCAAAATACCGTCTTTTTTAAAAAAAAAATTGTTTTTTTAAAAGTTTAATAATTGTAGTAGATAAAATTACGTATCAGAAAAATATACAAATTACATATTTGAAAACAGAAAATCAAGACAAATTTAACAAATTTTTTTGGATGACCATGTTTTATTTGAAGTATATATAAATATATATAATAATTCGTTCAAAAGTTTTGTGTACACCCGATTTATAATAATATTAGTAGTAATATACATCGAACAATTTTAGGGTGACTTTATTTTAGCCAATATACGGTAAAAGATACTATCAATGTTACCGTCCTCTCTAGCAACCTAGGACGAAACATGCAGATGGATTTTTATTACGTTTATTTTACTCGGATTGTGATATGCAAAAGGATAGAAAAATTCAATTTGATAATATTTTGAAAATATATTGTACTTTCTTTTGGATAACTTTAAACATGGTACCTCCTCCATTTCGTAATAATCACAACGATAGGTGTTTCGGGGTTTTCCGATGTCCTGCGGGAGAGTTACAACTCCGAGACTGGAACCGTGCGTCTGTACCTGCAAAACAACGGAGACTCCGGGTGTTGGGAGCTCCGCCTCCGACGATCAAGTTAGTACTTGCTTTAGGAGTAATAAATGCAGAAAAAAGGTTAAGAGTTTTCTCTAGGTGAGAGTAATTAATTGACGTGATCCCCTTTAATGAGGATTAGTAAATGTATTTATAGTCTTGGGATGCATGCTTGTCTTAGGTTTAGGTCAACCTAGAGCTTCTTGGGCTTCCACAAGACTTTGGGCCTAGGTGGCCGGTTCCTCCATTTGGCATGGGGGAGGACACGTGTCGTGTCGTGATTGGTCCATGGTGGACTGATCAGTACCTAACACGTGGCAGGCTCCTGTTGGCCCACGTGGCGAACACATGGCAGAACCTGATTGGTTCACTTGTCAGGTGGTGACTGGTAGGGAAAAATCCCCTAATCATTTGCCCCTCACAGGTGGCATGTGACTGTTTATATGTCACCTGTGACAGGTGTCGGCTTGTAACAGGCGACGACCTGCTACAGGTGTCGCTTGGTGAATGGCCGAAGGTTTTTCCCGCTCATTTTTGAATTTTTGGAAGTGACCCTTCGACTTCTCATCTTGCCTATATAAGGGCGTGTTGACTTCAGATTTATTTTCACACTTGAAAACTTTTTGAAAGAGAACACTCGGATCCCTGATCTTGCTCTGACACTTTGGATATTAATAGCCTACCGCCTGATTTGTCAAGCCGGCTGATTTTTCATATCTCTGCTATTTACAACGTCACTTTTTCAATTATTCAGGTAACCGTCTGTTCTCTTACTTCTCTTTTTTATTTATTTTGAACTATGGTACCTCGAAAGCACCCGGCACGACCTAGGGTAGTGATCAGTCGGTCACTAGGGACGGCTGAATCTAGGACTAGGAGTGTCGCCTGCCCCTTTTCGGACCAAACTTTGCCCTTTATACATAGCCCGACTGTCTCTGTGTCTGTGCAGAACACGATGGCTCGAACTAAGAGAACTGTCAGGATCACCAACTCTGATGGCTCCTCCTTCTATGTGCCGGTCAGCGAGACATCTTACTAGGCGCCTGATGCTGAAATCAACCAAAGCGGCTCTGTCGCTGAAAGCTCAGAGGAGGGAGCCAAGGTATTCCCTACCCATTTCACTGTTGACTTAGCCAGTCGACAGTTGACCCCTACAGAAGGAGAGGGGTCGGTCCCTTCTATGAGAAACGAGGAGTCGGACTCTTCTAATAGTGAGTCCAGCACTAGTTCCTCAAGCCATCATTCCCTGAACTCAAAGGAGAGGCACTCCCAACTACACGAGTTAAGACTCTCTCATGCGGTTGAAAAGGGGGACGAATGGTCAGAACCATCCGCCTCTAATAGGGAGTTAAACACTGCTAATTTATGCCATGTCCCAAAGGGCCACATCAAGGTAATGAAAGAAAAACTGGACTCCTTCTTATCGGACCA